ATTTAATAAATTACATTAAATAAATTGCATGAGACTCCAGTCTGTCTTCATCTTAGGCTTCTTTCTCCCAGGTCTAACCTCCTCTAGCGTGGTAAACAGGGACCCAACCCCTGACCGCTGTCCTCTGACCTCCACAAGCCAGCCCTGACACCCGGGTGAGTGTATGTGCACACACATACAATTAATGCAGTTTTTAAAAAGTTGATAGTAAAAATGCCTCAGTTACACTGCTCTGTGGGCTTTAAGCCCTAACGGCATGGAATGAGCTACCTTGGGCATCACTGGTGTTGAGACCAACACTCCTTAAGTGATTTACATGCTCACTTGCTTAAGTAAGCCAGAATTTGACACAAAGTAAGGGAGACAGGCAAAAAACAAAGGCAGAGAGGCCAGACTTTTGTCCTGCTTGCAGGTGCAGATAGGTCATGTTTATCAAAAGCGTTTTCTAAGTGTTTGGTGTATTGTCGCTGAAGCGGGAGACTTGTCTTGCCCACATTAACACACAGGACGTCTCACCCTGTCTGCCTGCCTCTCAGGGCGAAGCTCCTCCTGTCACCCCAGGAACCCCCACCCAGAAAGAGGGGTCCTGGTATTGCCAGGGAGAGGCCCGATGTTGGTGCATGAGGATTTAGAATGGGGAGGTGGGCTTTACACTTTCTTCTGGAATCTTCTTTGGTATGTATAGTATAAGCGTGTGTGAGTGCACTCTGTGCAGATGGGTGTGCGGGCCAGAGCTTGATGTCAGGATCTAGTCCTCAGTTGCTAACCCACCTCATTTTTTGAGATGGGCTTTCTCGATGAACCTGGAGCTCTCTGCTTTGGCTAGACTGGCTGGCCAGTGAGGCCCCCAGAATCCTCCAGTGCTGGAGTTTCAGGCCCAGGTTTTTATGTGTGGGTCCTGGGTATTTGAACTCAGATCCTCATGCGTTTAAGCACTTACCCACTGGGCCATTACCTCAGGTGAGGACCAAGAATCCAGATCTGGGTGTGGAGTGTCAGCTGCAGGAAAGCGTTTGGTGCCATGTCTCACACCAGTTTGTTGGTACAGCCTACCGAGAGGCTAGAAGGCAGGACTCACGCTAACTATCAGTCTGGGAGTGAACGTGTGAAAGGTGTTGGTAAACTGTATGAGGAACATCCGAAGATGTCCCAGCAGCACCCCCTCCCCACGGAGTCACTCAGCTGTTTGGTTTTATTGACGGCCTGGCAGGGCTCTCAGCTGCCTTTGTTTACTCAGTTGGTACACAGACTGGATCAAAGAGAAGATCTACGCGCTCCTTCATCAACAGGCCCAACAGGCTGGGAAGTAGTTGAGTTGGAAGCATTGGGGGCTGAGGGTGGGCTTGGAACAGGTGCATACAGTGTGCTGTAGTGAACATTTTGTATGATAGTAATCCTGTTTCCATTTTGTTACTAGAGCCAAGATTGAATGTATGACATGATAGTGAATGATCTTTTCATTCTGAAACCACCATTGCCCCTCTGCTCCTTTCCTTTCTTTTTTTACTTAAACATTTTTATGATAATTCAGAGAGAAAGTGCTCTTTGCCAGTTAAGGTTGGTTCCAGTCCTGGAAACTGTTTGTATCTGCTTTACAGCAGTGAGTGCACTAACCCTTTGTGGGGGTAGGGATGGTGACGAGCTTAGTTATGTCCTCTGGGAAAGTCTTAGTGAAAAATAAAAAATGTCCTGCAGGGGTGTCCTGGCCAGTTTTATGTCAACTTGACACAAGCTAGAGTCATCAGAGGAGGGAACCTCAGTTGAGAAAATATCTCCATAAGGCAAGCCTATAGGTCATTTTCTTTTTCTTTGTTTCTTTTGTTTTTTGAAACAGGTTTCTCCATGTAGCCTTGGCTGTTCTGGAACTCACTCTGTAGACCAGGCTGGTCTTGAACTCACAAAGATCCACCTGCCTCTGCCTCTCGAGTGCTGGGATTAAAGGTATGTGTCATTATGCCCAGCTCAAAGTAGGAAACATCCTATCATTTTCTTAATTAGTGATCGATGCTGGGAGGCAGCTCATTCTGTGTGGTGTTGCTCTTGGACTGCTGGTCCTGGGTTCTATAAGAAAGCAGGCTGAGCAATCCATGGGAAGCAAGCCAGTAAGCAGCACTCTTCCATGGCCTCTGCATCAGCTCCTGCTTCCAGGTTCCTGCCCTGTTTGAGATCCTGTCCTGACTTCTTTGAAGAGTGATGTGGAATTGTAAGCCAAATAAATCCTTTCCTCTCTGACTTGCTTTTGGTCATGGTGTTTCATCACAGCAATAATAGCCCCAAGACAAATGGTTAAAACACACACAGACACACACAGACACACACACACACACACACACACACACACCAGTCCAGATCTGGACTGGAGTGTGGTCAGTTGGTAGAACACTTGTCCAATAAGCAGCCCTGGCTTTGATGTCCAGGACTACACCAACTGGGCAAGGGATCTGTAACCCTGGCACTCAGGAGGACCAGAATCATCCCTCAGCTACACATTGAGGCCCGCCTGGGCTTCATGAGATCCTGCCTTAACACAAAGCAAAAGAATCCCAAGTCCAGGCATCTGAGAAGTGGCCAGAAAAAAAACAAACCATAGGCAGGTTGCTCCTTAGCTGCTCCGGCCATCGGTAAGCAGTAGGAGAAGCATTTCCTTCCCACGCCGCAAGGACTTTTGACTAAGTTCAGAAAGGTCCCTGCTGATGTGTGTGGTGGGGGCTGGTGGTGCAGTTTGAAGGTTTGGATGAGGATTCCTTTCCTAGGGAGGTTCTAAGTGATCTCACTGCCCTTGCTGCCAAACTTTATCTTTGCCTAAAAATCCGAGTAATTCCCGGGGCCCTGAAACCAGGCTTTGGGCTTTACTAGTCCAGTCTGAGCACAGGCCCAGCGCTGAAGAAGATGGAGACCCCTGTTGCAATCTGCGTCTGTCTGAACCCAATGAAATGACCATGTCAGGGTCACTTCAGCAAGGGGGGCCCCAGCCTCTGTGCCCTCCACAGGGCCAGGGCATTTTTCTAGGAATGAGTAAACTCTTTTAAGCTTTCAGAAAAGGAATGGTTGGCAAAGGAATGTCTTGATTTTTTTTTTTTTTTATTTTGCGGGGAGAGAGGGGGAGAAGAAGAAGCAGGAAGGGAATTAAATTCACCATAAGTGGATGTGGTTAAGAGCCTCTACCGCGATGCTTCCTAGTGTCCAGGGCAGCGGCCACAGTGGATATTCAGTCCTTACCCAGCCTCAACTCACTCTGTGATTCTTCCTTAGAACTGCAGCAGCAGCTGGACAGTGTCTCACCCCCTTAATCCCAGCACTCAAAAGGCAGAGGCAGGCAGATCTCTGAGTTCAAGGCCAGCCTGGTCTACAGAGCGAGTTCCAGGACAGCCAGGGCTACACAGTGAAACCCTGTCTCAAAAAACCAAAAGAAAACAAACAAAAAAGAAAACAAACAAACACCTAAAACAAAAAAACCAAAACAGCAGCAGCTAGGCTCAGTAAAAGAGTGGGTAGGGAGGTCTCCAAGTGTGGTATGTAAAGAGGCGTTTTTTGTTTGTTTTCAAGACAGGGTTTCTCTGTGTAGCTCTGGCTGTGCTGGATCTCACTCTGTAGACCAGGCTGGCCCGGAACTCACGGAGATCCACCTGCCTCTGCCTCTCAAGTGTTGGGATTAAAGGCCACTATGCCTGGCATAGAGAGAGTTTTAAGAAATGAGTAGAAGCTGGAGAAGTTTGGTGGGGGTGGGGGTGGGGGGCAGTTGTAAATGCAAAGTGATGGAGAAAGCTAGCTGTGTGTGTGTGTGTGTGTGTGTGTGTGTGTGTGTGTGTGTGTGAACTGTTTGTAGCTGAAGTATAGAATTCAGAAGGCGGCTGAACATCCAGGTGTGTCAGTATGGGGTAGGTGTAGTGAAGGAGGGGTTTTGGCAAAGACCTGGAGGGCTTGGGCAAGGGGAAGCGGGACTGAAAAGGTGGCTGGCACAGACCCAAGGCCCGGAGCCCACAGAGTTGAGAATAAGCAAAGCCTTGGCAGGAACCCAAGAAGAGGAAGCACGGGGCAACCCTGGGTACCCGGGGCCTCTCGGTAGGGGCACTGTGCTCCTTCAGGGATTGGAGGTGGGTGTCAGCAGACTGGGTGGGGGAAGATGGGGCGGGGAGGAAACCAGCCAGCAGCGGGGAGATAAAGTCCAACCTTCCCGGGCTTTCGTCGGTCCTGGAGAGGTTGACCCAGTCCGGGCACCGAGGAGGCGGCTCCCGGGCTCCACGAGACAGGTAGGAAGGCAAGCGGGTGTCTTGGGCAGGGCATGCTCCGGGCATCTGTTAGGCATCTGCCCCTCTTGGCTCCGGTAGGTCGCGGTGGTGTGGAAGTCTCCAGCTGTGCGCTGGCCGAGGGGGCCACGGTGGAGGATCTCAGCTCTGCGGGTGGTCAGGTCCCCCCTCCCCGCGCTGTCCTGGAACAGCATACCCCCTCTCGCCATGCACAGTCCAGGGGAAGCCTGCAGACCCAGCGCACGCCCTGGGGACCTGCGGCGGAGAGCCCAGCCACAGCCAGCACCTGCCAGGCACCCAGGGCCCCCACTCCCCAGGGATCCGCCTCTCAGTGCCTCTGGGGGCACACAGCGCCACCCCGGGGCGGGGACGCCAGGTTTGGAGAGTCGTCCTGCTGGACGCAGGGGTGGCTTTGATTTGAGAGCAGGACAATTGTTAAGCTCTCCGGACTTTGGAATCAGGCACCGGTCACGGGCTGAGTGGAACTCCCTCTAGTCAAACTCAGCCATGCTAGTCCCACAGGGAAGCCTCACCCACCTCCCCGCCCACTCACCAGCCCTTGATCACAGCTGCACCCACATCCCCTCCTCTGTGCGCTCGACCCCCCCAGGAGGTGTACTCAAACCCAGGAATCTCTGCTGATAAGAATGACTGAATGACTTTGCTGTTTGTGCCAAATTAACCGGGGTTTACTTCCATACATGTCCTGGGGTAAACCTGCTGAACGTGGCTTTTTGTGTGCTGTACTGCATCCCTATAAAAATGACCGCAAGCCGTTTTATTCTAAAAGAATTCAGAACACCGGCGGAATAACAGATTTTTAATATTAAACATACCTGTCAGCGCTTGTTTAATGTTCTGTACTGAACTGCACGTTGCTTACGTGGGTCTCTGATACAGAGACATGTGCACACACGTAAGCGGTCCCCGCACTGCGCACGCACCTAGTTCACAGATGCTCATACCACTACCACGAATGCACAAGTGCACACCCTGCACACAACTCTGAGTTCGCGGGTGCACACACTCGTTATGAAGACTGGGAAGGAAGCTCTCCTGTGCAAGACAAGGATTGGCTGATGTTTAAAACAGGAACGTGTGTGTGTGTGTGTGTGTGTGTGTGTGTGTGTGTGTGTGTAAGAGAGAGAACAAGAGAACATGGAGGGGGGGTTGCTAGGGATCCGAATCAGAGTCTCAGCATAGTTAAGTGTCAGCTACATCCCAAGACCTGCACTTAAATTTTAAAAGCAATTGAATTTGCCGAGATGCAAATTTTACCTAAACTGGCCTTGAACTCCTGGACTCTAGTGGTATTCCTACCTCAGCCTCCCAGTAGTTGGGGCTACAAGGTACACACTCTACACCACACCTGGATAAGCAATTGAATTATTATTATTTTGGTTGGTTCTTTTCCAGACAGGGTTACTCTGTATAGCCCTAGCTGTCCTGGAACTAGCTCTGTAGACCACTGCCTGGCACAATTGAATTTTTAAACTATCCTCACACACGATTCCCCCCCCCACACACACACACCGTATATTTTCTGGTGAGCCTGGGAGGATGGCCCTGTCAGTGAAAAGAAATGCTTGCTATGCAAGCTTGCAGACCTGAATCCAGATTCCTAGAACTCAGGTAAAGTTGCTGCTGTAGCATGCTCTGTAACCTCAACCCTAGGGGGAGGGGAGGAGAGGCGGATCCCTCCCGCCCATTGGCCAGTCAGCCTAGCAGAAAAAGCTGAACTGAGTTCAAAGAGAGACATTGTCTCAAAGAATACCCGGGAGAGCAGCTGAGGAAGACAGCCTCAATCAACCCTCCGGTCTTCTCACGCCTGTATACACGCATGAAAGCGCACACATATATTCTTACACACCCTTATTTGGGGTGATGGAAACTGACAGCGAATCTATTTTTATTAGTTGTTTTTAAATGGGATAAAATGGCCTTTTAATTTCTTATTCAGTTTAAAGGTCTGGTTACTTTGATCCCCAACTCACTCAGTTCTTCCACAATACAGCGGTATTTTTAACCATTCTCTCCCTCCTCTGGAATCCCACAACAAGTTCTTCCTGGGCTTCTGCCTGCCGCCGACCAAGCCTTCTTTCCTTCCTGTGTGAGTTGCAGGACTTGTCTACTGAGCACTGTGGTGCCCCCAGCAGACCCGGTCTCTGTGGGAGGACCATCCCATCCACCCACAGAGCGGGAGCCACCACTTTGGGCAGCTGTGGTGGCCTCTCTGGCTCTAACCCCTGGCTTCTCCTGCAGGCAGAGATGCAGCTGTTCCTCGTCACGGTCCTGCTGCTGGCCTCCACTCCGGGGTCTTGGGTGAGTGGAGGCTCCTTTGGGAGAGGCGGGGGAGGGGCAGGCGGTGGGCAGTGCCGGGAAGACTGGACGTGGAACTCTCCAGCTCCTTCACAAGCCAGGGCACTGTGGAGGTCCGCCTGGGGTGCTTAGCTTCCCAGCGGAGCCATCTGCAGGCATGGCAAGAATGGGTACAGTCCGCTGGCCCTGGCTGATGCCACAAAACACTTACCATGGCTCCTCCCTGCTAAAGAGAAAAGACCCATAGGTGCACTGCTCAGACCAGCCCGCCAAACTCCTGCCCGAAGGAGATGGCTAGAACGTTCCCTAATGTGATTAAATCGCTAGCAACCCACACAATCAGCTTAATGATCCAAGGAATTTATTTGGGAGTTAACTCACAAGCATGGGAGATTTATTGTCCTGAACTCTGTCCCACACTGAATGGCTTGGTCCAAGATCTCAGCATCCAAACCACGAGGTAGCCAAGAGACAGCTGCATATCTGCATCCCAGGTGTTAAGTGCCCCCCCCAACAGCCACACCTCAGAGGCATGTACCTTAAGGCCATAGGCAGATGTAACTGTTACCAGGGCTTCAGGGCATGGCTCAAACAGCCGTCCACTACAGTTCCCCCCCTCTCTCTGAGGTTCAGTCGGGAGCTACGAGGTCCGTGTGTCTAATTGCGCACTTGAAATGTGGCTAGCACAACTCAGGAGCTTTTGATGTTGATCTGAGGTTAATTTGAACTACAGGTGTCTGTGGCTATCAGGTTAGTGAAATCTAGAGGGGTGGGTTCTGGAAGCTGAGTGGTGACCAGGAAGCTGCTTCATGAGGGAGCTTAAGGAACTTGACTTCTTGGAGTCCTAAGGGGGTGGGGAGAGAGGGTCTGCAGAGCTGGGTGCAGAGCAGAACAGACATCGTAGAGGCAGCCAGGTCCCATTCTACCCTGAAATCTACACCAGGAAGACCGGAGCCCTGCCCACCCCCCAAGAAGACCCAAATGAGAGAGGAAGGGGCTAGGATGGCTGCCTTGGGAAGGAAACAGGGTAGTGCCGCCTCTGTGGTGATATGGGTGGAGAGTGGGGAAGGCGGGCAAGGGTGGGTGTCAGTGGTAGGCACTGGGCAGCCCCCCAAAAGCTCATACTCTGACACGCAGGCCTGCCAGGCAGTTGGTGGACTGAAGTCCCCTTCCTCAGTTCCTTTTCACACGCTACCTGGGCCAGCTCTTGCTCCCTAGATTCTGCTCTGAGCTTCTCCAGCACATGCTGGTGACTTAGCTGCACACAGGTGAAGGCCTGGGTGGAGGAGTTTCCATGACTGCTCAGAACCCCAGGGTAAAATCCCAGAGCCATGCCATAACAGCTGCTAACTTCAGCCTGTTCTCCAAGCCATAGATAGACCAGCCAAATCCCAGGAATCTATGTCCACACCACACCACAGGGTGTCACACAGATGAGTCAATGATTACAAAGGACACTGGATCCTACAAGGTCCCTTCCTCCATGTAGGGAACCTGAGTGGCCCTCTGCCTCCTCCCCAGCACGAAAGGCCCAGCCAGATGAGGTCGGGGTCTTTCCCTGTCTTCTGTGTGGTAGAGAGGTATGGTCCAGGCCCACAGCTTAGCTCCCTCTATGGTGGCAGGATCCACCATGGTGTCCGGATCACCCCAGGGTCCCGGTCAGGGCTGACTAGTCGGCTTGACAGAATGACCAGATGAATAATTAAAGGTGTGGCTGTGAGTCCCTCCACCTGGCCTATCGTCCATGTCCCACACATTCTGGTGCACAGCGGGGCACCCTTGGAAACAGGCAGGAAAGGGGGCTCCTGAGCCGGGAGCTGGAGCTGGAGCTGGAAGAAGGGTGGGGTGCTGAGAGCAGCAGTCTGGGACAGGCGGGAACAGGCCCAGAGAGGGTTGGGCCACACCAGCTCCTGGCTTCATACCACCACACAGCTTGGGGTTTGGATAATTATGGAGAACAAACTGTGCTCACTCACGCTGCTCATGACCTGATGTGTGTGTGTGGAAAGATACAGGGAGCGTGGGTACAGACCAGGGTTTACCCACGCACCGGCAGGAGGCTTTACCTACAGGTGCTGGTCGCAGGAAGCAAGGAGTGTCTGTAAAAGGCCCCTGCCAGGAGTGTGGTCTCTAGAGAGTTCAGACCACTCCCTACCTGTCAGACATCCTAGAACGACTCCATGGCCAGAGCATCCTGGCCCTGCTGCCGTGGACATGTGAGTTGTCCATCCCCTGCTCATGTGAGGTGTCCCTACCCAGGAGAGCTGGATTTCTGGGGGCTCTTGCACCATGGGAACTAGACAAGCATCCAAACAGACCCTGGGAAGGGTCAACACTACCAGGCACGTGAGGGCAGCAGGTCTCCAAGGGCCACACCCTAGTACTTAGCACGTGACAGCAGGGCTTGGATCACAGGGGCCGGAATCCCAGCCCATTGGAAAGTTACCCCAATACCTACCACGCAAAGAGTAGCTCTCCCCTTCAAAACAGAAACTCAAGCCGACGAAAACCAGTTTACGTTCCGTTGCCAGAATACCTGAGCATTTTGGTTCACTGGTTTGGAAAGCCTGGAGGTTCTGTTCTGGCTAGAACTGGAAGTGGGGGGGGAATGATTTACAATGAGAGGCAAGACCTTTGGTCTGGCTGGCCTGTGCTTGGCATTGTGTGTGGTTAACAAGTTTAGGGTGGTTCGCTCTGCTTCCAAACCGTGGTCTATAAAAACAGGGGTAACGAGATCCTTGGGGTCAGACCTCAGCACACTTCCCTGCTCACCTCAGGCTGGCTAAGTGAGAGGCTCCATGCTGGGGAAGGGCTTGTTTTCCTTTGTTCACACGTGACCTCTTTTTAAATAGTGGGAGTTATATTCCCTAAAGGTTTTACCTCAAAATAAAGCCCCTCTCCGCCCATGGACGTGTTGACCTCTCTGCACTCTTGTCTGGCTCCTTGGGATCCAGTGTCTGCTTTGGCTGCCCGCTCCCCCAGGCAGGCAGGGGCACAGCCCTAGGATGAGAGCTGAGGCCTGTAGTGTACGGTGCCACGCCCTTTTCGGCTTGTCCCTCTGCGTCACTTTTCTTGGGAGCCGCTGGGCTGTGCGGATGAGATGAGAGAATCTGTGTACCATGTGGCCGTGGGATGCTGGCTGCAAGGTGTCCCATCCACAGTGAATTTCCACTGTGTCATTTCAGCAAGGCAGATGAGGTCTAACTCTCTACCTCTCACATAAACACTCGGGTCAGAAGCTCAGGGCTGTTTCATTTCGAGAAGTCCTCACCGTTTGAGGTCTTTCTTCGGAAGTCACTCGCCAGTCTAAAAGGCTGTTCCTGCTCTAGCCATTACATCAGGTTTTCCAGCAGAAGGGAGCGTGTGAGGAAGAGGAAGACCATGCCCATTCACACGGTCTCTCTGAGTACCAGAGACAGCTGCCCGACACTCGTATTTACGTGTCATTGATGAGAACTTAGGGATGTGGCCAGTAAGCTACAGGAAACTAAGAAGAGTACTGAGCGAGAAGCCAACTTTTCAGATTCTCTTATAAGGGCCAGGGGAAATAATAATGGGGTACCCTTGGGAGTCTCTGCCACAGATTAACCGGAATACTGTAGTTCCCCCCCCCAAAAAAAAAAACCCACACTAAGTTCTAGTTTAATAGGCCAGAAGTATAGAGTTTCTGGACGCGAGCTCACATCCAGAGCAGAAGAGGTACGACTAGGTAAGACTAGCCTGGGGTGGCTTTTCTCCAGGGGATCCTACTGAAGTTCTGTCCTGTCGTGGTTACATTTCCTGAATAGATAGAGGCCCACCTACCTGAGGACCTGCCATGATCTCTCCCATCCCACATAGGTCTCTCTTGACAAGGGTGCGTCTGCTGATCCACAGGCTCCATTCAAGGGACACCAGGCCAAGCATAGCATAGTCAGGGGAGACAGCCTCTTCCCGGCCACGCCCTCCGCGTCAGGCGGACCCCTAGAACACAAGGCTACCTTGCTAGATGAGTAGACCACAGCTGAGTAATGCCCAAAGCACCTAAGTACCCCCGGCCTAGATTCCTTCCCCTCTTTCTTCAGGGTCCCTTCTTCCACATTAGAGTCGACCCACAAATGCCTACACTGGCTGCAGGGCCCCTCCTCCAGGGCCCCTGGAACCGCAGGCTCTTCCCAGCAGGCTGAGCCCAGTCACACCTAAGACAGTGGGTTAAGTTTGCAATGAACCTTTTGGAGTACCTGGTTGCCCTTCTGTGTCCTAAACCGGCCCGTACTGGAAGCCCCCAGGCTCTTAGAATCGGTCGGGGAGAATCTCTGCAGGGCTCCGGGTTCAAGACCCAAGGGTGTGTGTGTGTGTGTGTGTGTGTGTGTGTGTGTGTGTGTTTGTGTGTGTGTGGTGGTGGTGGGTGATGTGAGTCACAGCCTGAGTATGTCTTCCACAGGCTCGAAACGTGAGGCGCCAGAGTGACACCTGGGGCGCCTGGGGCGAGTGGAGCCCCTGCAGCCGGACCTGTGGAGGGGGCATCAGCTTCCGGGAGCGACCCTGCTACTCCCAGAGGTAGGGAGGGGAGGTCTAGAACCTGCCAAGCCGCTTAAAAGAGGGCAAGTCAGGAATGGCTGCCTGCTGGGTAGGAGCCAGTCATCAGGGTCATTATGGGATAGATTCACCGTGGAAGGGTGATGGAGCGCATAGGAAAACAGATTTCCCATGTACTCACCTCGGATTCCAACCCTCAGCCTTGACTGAGAGGAGCTGGGCCGTCTACTTCCTCCGCGCTAAGCCTGTGGCCCCGGTGCATGGGCATGGAGTGGGGTGGGCTTCGTTTGCAGAGTTAAAATGCGTTGTGGCTTTCGAGTCCACTGGGAGAAACCAAGACTTAGACTCAATTCAAATTTAGATTGGATGAATTCATTCTTACCCCTGGCAGAAGGGCGACAGACAGCCTTAGAGTCAATACAACATGCCATGCGGGAGCGGGGCTTAAGGTGGAGGTTTTAAGGCGGACATCAGAAAGATGCGCATGCCATGGAATCCACAGCTGGGCAGGAACATTGTTTTATTTCCTTTCCTGCTACATATAGTAATAAAAAGACCATTCCATCCCTTTCCCATAGAGATAGCAGGGTTTTGTTTTTTTAAGATTTGTTTATTTACTATGTATACACTGTTCTGCCTGCATGTATGCCTACACACCAGAAGAGGGCACCAGATATCTTTACAGGTGGTTGTGAGCCACCGTGTGGTTGCTGGGAATTGAACTCAGGACCTCTGGAAGAGCAGCAGTCAGTGCTCTTAACCTCTGAGCCATCTCTCCAACTCGTGATAGTGGGTTTTACAGAAGCGAAGGCAGCTGTTAATGCCTCCCAGCCCATGATCCTATTCTTATCTCACCTGCAGGCCACTAGGATCTCCAGGCATTCCAGAGTAAGAGGTCAACGGCCCTTAAGGGATGCCTGGCTCCATATTACGTTTCTTTAGTCATCACAGGGGAACCTGTGTAAATTATTACTCAGGTCTAAGCACTCTAGTGACTGGGATAGAGCAGTTCATTTCTGGGCAGGCAAAAACACAGTGCCATCAGGTTAGGGCTGGCTGTCACGTCCCCACCAAAGAACGCCAGCCCGCAGTTCCAAGTTGCTGGGGTTTCTTTGCCCTCAGTTGCTTTGTCAAGTGCAGAGGACACCCCGCCCCCAGACGACTTTAGAATTTACTAGGTGCCCTGTTTTCTGATGTTCTCGCCCTGCAGGAGAGATGGAGGCACCAGCTGCGTGGGCCCCACGCGCAGCCACCGCACCTGCCACACCGAGGTAAAGCCTGCGTGGCCCCTGCTCCTCATGGCCCCGCCCCACTCCCACGGCCCCGCCCCACTTCCCATGGCCCCGCCCCACTCCTCACTGCCCCTCCCCACTTCCCATGGCCCTGCCCCACTCCTCACGGTACCGCCCCCACTTTCCATGGCCCCGCCCCACTCCTCACAGCCCCGCCCCACTTCCCATGGCCCCGCCCCACTCCCCACGGCCCCGCCCCATTCCCCACAGCCCCGCCTCCAAGTCGCATCCTCAGCCTGCTCCAGGGACCTGCCAGGCACCCAGGGAGGGCTGGTGGCCCCTCCTGGGATGGGGGGTGGGTGGATGAGACAGAGGTGCAGGACCGCAGGGCTCCAGGACACTGAGGGTGGACAGGGCAGGATGGCAGCCTCCCCAGTGCCCACACTGGCACCCACGTTCCCACGCAGAGCTGCCCAGACGGCGCGCGGGACTTCCGGGCTGAGCAGTGCGCAGAGTTCGACGGCACCGACTTCCAGGGCCGGCGCTACCGGTGGCTGCCCTACTACGCGGGTAAGCGCGCCACCCCGCTCTGCTGGCTCTGCTCTTGCCCACCCAGCCCCTATCGGATGATCAGGCGTTAGTTATTTTTCCTTGCTGCAGTAAAACCCTGTGAGAGGTGGAGTTTATTTGGGCTTATGATTCCGGAGGGAGGGTCCGTGATGCCTGGTAGCTGCAGTGGGAATCTGGTTGATCATATTTCAACCACGCACAGAAAGAACTCCAACTGGAAGTGCAGCCAGGCTCTCTGCTTTCAAAGCCCACCCCCCCAGTGATGTACTTCCTCAAAGTTTTACAGCCTCCCTGAACAACACCGCTCTCCGCTCTCCGGGGACCAGGTGTTCAAATACAGGAGTCTATGGGGGGACATTCTTCACTCAAACCACGCTTTTGTGTCAAGATGTCAGCTTTCTCCTTTTACCCACCCAGCCCCAAACAAGTGTGAACTGAACTGCATTCCCAAGGGGGAGAACTTCTACTACAAACACAGGGAGGCGGTGGTGGACGGGACACCCTGCGAGCCCGGCAAACGGGACATCTGTGTGGACGGCATCTGCAGAGTGAGTTAGGCCCCTGCCCGGCCTCCAAGCTGCCTGGGGATTATTAGGGCTGGTGTCTTCCAGCAGCAGCGGGACCAAGTGGCTGCCAGGGGCTTGGTGGCTTAAGTCGCTAGCTCCCAGAATGCAATGCAGTCATTATAGATGTTCTCTGACCGCCCTCAACTCTGCCCTGGAGAATACTAACCTCACGAGAGAAACCCTCTGCATGGCTGAAGCTGACCCCAACCAAACGCGAAGGGGTGGCTGTAGGCGATGGAAAGATGCTAGAGATTCCTCTATCTCTTGCTTTCTTCTCCTCTGCGCCAGCTTCAGGCTCATGCAGGGCTCTTCTTGTGAGCCTGCACCAAGATGGCAGCCCCAAGCCTGTCTACCACACCTGCCTGTCAGCTCTCAGGAGTCCCAGCTCTCTGACCTGTTAGCCTGGGCTCACCTGAACCATTCTCTGAGGAAAGGAGGGGACCACGTTCCTCTGGCATGTCCAAACCCACGTTTGTGGAGTTCCATCCAAACAGGGAGAGCCATGACCTCTGGAGTGGTTAGCCGGAGCTGGGGGACGGGCCTGAGCAGATAGACGAGTGGATGTCAGTCCCTGTGTCCCCGCTGCCCTTCCCCAGGGCGTTTGGAACTATGTCTGCGCCTTTTATCTCTTACCTTGCGGTCACTTCCCTGTCCCTCCCTGCAGGTTGTTGGCTGTGATCACAAGCTGGACTCGACCAAGCAGGAGGACAAATGTCTGCAATGTGGGGGGGATGGCTCAACCTGCTACCCTGTCACAGGAACCTTTGACGCCAATGACCTCAGCAGAGGTGGGGGGTCACACACCTTGGCTTACCTGTCTGTCACCTTCTCTGACCAAGGCTTGAGGCCAGGCGATCCTCACGGCACTCAGTAGTAGGTCTGGCTCAGGTCATGTGACTGCGAGGCAGAGGCTGCACCCCTCACAGGACTCTCCCTATGTGCCTACCTTGGCTGGGACCCTCACCCACTCGTGTGGTCTAATCTCACGATGCCAATGCCGGCACTGGGTGCCTGCCCTCGAGCCTTGTCCTTGTCCCCAGGCTGTTTCTTTTTTCCTCCTGAGATGTCAGGGCCTTGAGCCTACTCCCACCCCACCCCGTCTTTGTAAAGCTAGTTCCTCTGCCCAAAGCACTCTCCCCAAGAAGTCCCTCCAGGAACAAACCAGCACCCCTCACCCGAATCTTGTCCCAATCAGGCTACAACCAAATCTTCATCATTCCTGCCGGGGCCACCAGTATTCGCATCGAGGAAGCTGCGGCCAGCAGGAATTTCCTGGGTGAGAGATGGTTTGGAGCTGGGGGCAGCCTGGGGCTCAGAGAGGCAACTGGGTGTCCCACATCCCCTGACAGGCTGCGTCCTCCTCCGCAGCCGTGAAGAGCATCAGCGGAGAGTACTACCTCAACGGGCGCTGGACCATTGAGGCAGCCCAGGCTCTGCCAGTGGCCAGCACGGTCCTACAGTATGAAAGGGGTGTGGAGGGGGACCAGGCCCCTGAGCGGCTCCAGGCACGGGGCCCCACCTCGGAGCCCCTGGTCATCGAGGTGAGTGGGCCACCGAGGGAGGTGACCCTGTACGTCCGGGCGGGCTGCCCAGACGACCATGGGCCAGGCGGAGGGGCTTCAGCGAACACACACTCTCGGCAGCTCATCAGCCAGGAACCCAACCCCGGCGTGCACTATGAGTACTACCTGCCATTGAACGAGCCCGGCCAAGGCTTCAGCTGGAGCCATGGGTCCTGGAGCGACTGCAGCGTGGACTGTGGTGGAGGTGAGCACTGGGGCCTGGGGGAGGACAGATGACTCGGGCTGGCAGGTGACAGTCCTGTCCCAGCACTGCTGGGGAGGGATACCTCCGTGCATGGGAAAAGTCAGCCATCCCCAGGAAGGGCTGCGGCCCTTGCCAGGGTAAGCGAGGTCTCCTAGGAGGAGCTGCCCGCTGGGGTCGGAGGCCGGGCCTGGAGCTCGTGACCAAGGTCTGTCACTCACACCTAAGAGTCTTGGAGCCTCCCTTTGCTGTAAGTTGGTTGTGGTGGTGGCGGCTCCTGTCACAGAAGGACTTCATCAGGGTGAGCTGTGCGTCCAGTCCGACTGGAAGGGTGCCTGACTAGCGAGTTCATTGGAAGAGCACCGGCGGCCTGCCACGAACTCGGGGTGGCTCTCCTCTCGACAGGTCACCAGACGCGCCTGGTATTCTGCACGATTGACAACGAGGCCTACCCGGACCACCTGTGCCGACACCGGCCTCGGCCAGCCCACCGACGGCCCTGCAATCTTCATCCCTGCCCCAAGACCAAGCGGTGAGGCCTTGCCGGCCCCTTCCACCTATGGTGGAGCCCAGGAACTTGGGTGGGGAGGGAGGGGAGTCCCTAAACTGTTTCAGGCATAGGCCAAAGAGGTTGGGGGGCAGGGCTCTGCACATCAGGTGGGAGGCAGGGACTGGGCCTGAGCATGAGACGCAGGACAGTTCTCTCCGTTCATGGGTCTCCTCACAGTATCAGGATGCCTAGACTGGGAACAGGAGGATAGGGGACAGCGCCACAGGGTCCCTGTCTGAGGCAACAGGGGGCTCAAACAGAGGCCTGGGGGTGAGGCAGGAATCTGGCCAAAGGGCCAGTAGACTCTGGCAAATGGCTTTGTTCGTGCACAAAGGATCTCTTTCCTGCACCGGCCGGGAGCGTGGCGCCATTCTGGGGCCCAGCATGTGTGTGGGAACAGGTAATCGGTGGGCCAGGGGCCTCCCCGAGGGCTGGTGTTGGTACCCTCGCCCTCCCGGCCTGGTGAGACGGTGGTGGGCCTTGGCTTTGCATGGTGTGTTTGGGGCTTCCCTTGTACCCCCAGCCAGGCAGGGCTTCTCCACATACAGGGAGCAGAGCTTTTCTGGAGATGCCCCGACACAGGCGGGCAAGGGATGGCGTCTGACTGGGATGCCAGGACCCCGTGAGAAGGAGAAAGGGAGAGCCGGGGCACAGAAATGAAAGCCGAGGGCAGCCGTCAGGCTGTCTGTGAGAAAGACCCTTCAGGGGCCGCTGAGCCATAGGGGATGCCTAGGAGGGCCTGGCTGGTGGTCTCCACAGAGTTCTTGGGGAGCGGCGGGGTGGGCCCTCCGGGTACTCTGCGTTGGGGAGCCGCGACCTCCTCCTACGCCAGTCTTATCTGTTTCCTTTTTTTTTTTTGTCAGCTGGAAGGTAGGACCGTGGACACCCTGCTCAGTCTCCTGTGGGGGTGGATTCCAGTCTCGCTCCGTCTATTGCGTCTCCTCCGATGGGGCTGGTGGCCAGGAAGCTGCTGAGCAGACCCAGTGTTCGGGTCTACCCGGGAAGCCTCCTACCACACAGGCTTGTAACCAGCAACGCTGTGCGGCCTGGAGCGTGGAGCCCTGGGGAGAGGTGAGGAGGCCCTGCCCAGGACTGGGAGCTGTGGTTTGGGCCGCAGGTCTGGGCTGAATGGCTTGTCTTCTGCTGCGGCAGGAAGCTAAGGTCCTCAGAGGGTAAGGGACCTAGCTGGTCATCTTGGAAGATGTGGCCAAAGCTGGGATGAGATGTAACTTGTAGACTCTGGTCCAGGGTCCTCCCGACTTGAGCATCCCAGGGCTGGATGGGACAGGGTTTGTGTTGGTGAGAAGACAGAGCTAGGTGTGTCTGGGGGTGAGGCAAGCCTTGCCTCCTGCTCCCAAGTTGCAAATCCAGGGCACGGAGGCTACGGAGACAGCCCAGTGGTTAAGTTATGCTTGCTGCTCTTCCAGAAGGACCTGAGTTTGGTACCTGGGACCTGGGTCAGGCTTTTCACAACGGTCTATAACTCCAGCTCCAGGGGATCCGACTCCCTCTTCTGGTCTCACACACACACACACACACAAGTGGCGTACACACAGAGAGACACGCAGATACACACAAATAAAAGTACAATAAAGGCGTGTGAGGAGTGAGAAAAATACCCCTTTCAGCCTGTGTGACTTCAGTGCAGTGATTCGGCCTCTCTGGGCTGAGGGGTGATATAAGGGCAGCGGAGTGTCCTCTGCCCTCTAAGCCAGGCTGGCCAGGCTCCCCTGGGGGACCTTCCTGCTGATAGCCTGTCCTTACAGTGTTCCGTTACCTGTGGGGCTGGCATCAGGAAGAGGAGCGTCACCTGCCGGGGGGATCAGGACTCTCCGGTCCACGTCACAGCGTGCTCCTTGAAGGACCAGCCAAGCCTCACTGAGCCCTGTGTGCAAGAGGCCTGTCCTGTGCTCCGGGGCCAGGCCTGGCACGTAGGCGCGTGGAGTCTGGTAAGTGCCCGCCCCCTCCCGATGCCTGCTGTCCAACCCTGGTCCCTGGGGTCCCGGAAGGTTCTGCAAACGCACCTGTGAAGAGCACTGCCCGCCCCCCACTTCTTCAGGGGTGTGTGCCCGGCCTCAGGGTTCTCTCTCTCTCTCTCTCCACTCCTACCCTGGGCCGTCAGTGCTCTAAGAGCTGTGGTGTGGGTACTCGGAGGCGACTCGTCACCTGCGCCATCGGGCCGCCCGGTCACTGCAGGGACCTGCAGTCATCCAAGCCCGCTGAGGTGGAGCCCTGCAACAGACAGCCCTGCCATCCTCCTCACGGTGAGGACAGGGCAGGGAGGGTGTACCCCCCCACCCCACCCCCGCACCGGCTGCCTGTTTAGTGTGCACCTCCTGCCTGGGGCCTTTCCCTGGCCGGCCGCTTTCCTTCATCTCTGGCCACTTCCGCCTCTGCTGCTGCCAGATCCATCTACACCACGCTGGGAGCCTCCGACTCCCCCAGCCTGTTGTCCTCCACGTCACCTTCACCTTAGTTTTCTTGCCCTGCGCCGGTCCCCTACGGCTTCTTAGACCTGCTAGCTCTTAGCATCCCAAGGGCGAGGTCCATGGCTTCCCGGTCCTCTCTCTGTCTCCCCCAGTGTACCGAGCACGGGACCTGGACCCCAGTGTCTAGTGCCTGTCCTTCACTGTTGGCTGCACGGCTGAGTGAAGAGGGAAAGCGTACTGCTCCCGCCTGTGTGCTCTCCCCCACGCCCCTTCACCCCCATTCCTCTGGCATGCAGACTACAGAGGGAGGGGCTTGGCGTGTGGACTTGAGAAAGTCCGGGTCGTGGCTGGGAGGGAGGCCGGGCGGGTAGCCTCTGATACTGAGAACAGTAGGTTTGTCCTTGAAGGGCTGGTTTGTGGGGACTCTGAGCTATGGGCACCTCCAGCTGGGCACAGCAGGATTCCAGCGGAGGTGGGTGGCAGGGTCTCAGGGGAAGGGCGGACTTGGTTCAGAGCACCAGCGTGGTGGCTACAGTGTGGCCCCGGGCAAAGGTGGCTCCTCTGTCCCGGACAAGGGCAGCAAGGGTGACTGTCCGGCCTGTGGCAGGCTTGGGAGTCCTTGGGGGTGCTGAGCCATTCATGATTCTGAAGGAAGGGAGAGGCAGATTTGGCCCACACCCAGGGGCAGTCTGAAGTACAGACGAGATGTAAGAACCCCAGGAAGGAGAAGGCAGGAAGCCATGAGCTAAAAGGGCAGTGGTACCTAGTGTATGTGATGCTGCTGGGGCACTGGAAAAGGGCGACACCGTGATGCCTTATTAATATCACTGTTGGTTTATTGAGACAGGGTATAATGTAGCCTAGGCTGGCCTCAAACTCATTATGTAGCTAAGGATGACCCTGAACTCCTGATCACTCTGTCTCTACCTCCCAAGTGCTGGGATTACAGGTGTGCACCACCATACCAGACCTAGAGATGTCTCTTAAAAATTATATTTAAAGGCCGGGCGGTGGTGGCGCACACCTTTAATCCCAGCACTCGGGAGGCAGAGCCAGGCGGATCTCTGTGAGTTTGAGGCCAGCCTGGTCTACCAAGCGAGTTCCAGGAAAGGCGCAAAGCTACCCAGAGAAACCCTGTCTCGAAAAACCCAAAAAAAAAAAAAAAAAATTATATTTAAATTTTTATTTTATGTGTGTGGTATTTTGCTTCCATGTACATCTCCGTGCCTTGTGTACACATGGCACCTACAGAGCCAGAAAGCATTGGATCCCCTGGAACTGGAGTCACCAATGGTTGTGAGCCACCATTGTGGGGGCTGGGACTCGAACTCGGGTTCGAGTCCTATGGAAGAGCAGCTGCTGATCTTCACTGCTCAGCGATCTTTCCAGCCTCCCCACAATTACATTTTAATTATCTTTTTTAAGGCTGATTCTCACTCTGTCGCCCTGGCTGGCCCGGAACTCTGAGGTCACTTTTTGTGGTTCTGGGACTCCAGTCCTCACACCTGCGTGGTGCACACACTTTCTCCGCTAACCCGCCACTCACTGTAGTGGCCTTGAGTTGTTGATTTTAATTAACCCGTCAAACTAAGTTTATTGTGGACGAGCAGGAAAGCCCCCCTCCCATTAAGAAGTGCCGACTGTTTTGGGGGTACCCTGCTTACTTAGTTTCTTTTCCTCTTCATTAAAAAAAAAACCAGTTTCTCTGACATTTTATGATTAAAAAGATCTAGCAATTTTATTAAGACTATTAACTACTAAATGCCATGAAAATCCATTTTTTTCTCTTTGGGGGGGCTGTTGGGGCTCAAACTCAGGGCCTGGTTGATGCCAAGCAAGTGCCCTACCAGCTCAGCTGTCATGGCCCCCCAAGTCACCTGGTCTAACTGGACACTGATTTGGTAATTTTACTAAGTTGGACAAGATTTTAAAAAAAAAAAATCCAGCCATGCAGAAAAGTGAAAAGAAATCTCTGAGGCAGCTGTGTTGATACAGACCCATCATTCCTGCACCTGAGAGGCTGAGGCAGGAGGATTCTTGTGACTAAGGCCAATACAGTCTCTGCGGGGTGGTGTTCTCGGGGTTGGGATGTTGATCTTTATCTCGGGCATTGCTTTTCTCTGGCTGAGCTCCATACCCCTTGGTTTCCGACAGAGGTCCCTAGCATACAGGACTCACGGACCCGCCCCTTACACCCCAGGATGCCTTTAGGCCCTCAAGTGTCCCCAGTCTCAGGTGAGAAGCTGGGTCCCTGCCCCAGGGCCCTGTCATCTATGAGTCTGGGTGGCCTGGTGGTGGCCTACAGGGAGGGGAGACCTAGGAAGGTGGTTTGAAGGCAGACTTGGGATGAGGGCGAGGGGCATGCGGGTGTACCGCAGTGATCTTTTTTTCCCTCCTGTTTAGATGCTAGAGACCAGCGGTGGGCTGCCCAGGAGCGACCCAGGGCCCAGAGTAACCCCAGAGAGGGCCAGGATCCCCAGCTGTCGGTTGCAGGCCGGGCCCCCATTCTGCAGCACCCTCCACACCGGCCACCCCTGAAACCCAACTCAGGACCCCGTGACTGCAGACACAGCCCCCACGGATGCTGCCCTGATGGCCACACCCCATCTCTTGGGCCACAGTGGCAAGGCTGTCCCCTGGCTGGAGCCTTGTGTCTTCAGAGCAGGTGGGTTGGGTCGCTCTTCTTCCTCAGCCGGCAAGAGGACGAAGGTCGGGCTGGGCAACGCTGGGCGGGGCCGGCATCCCTGCCCAGGGCAGACTTGCCCAGTTTAGAATTCCTGAGGTGCCCTGACTGTGCCATTTTGGGTGGGTGGATCTCTCTTCCTCCTGATGGGCTTCTCATGGGCCCAGCCTGTGGAGAGGTAGCCTGAGGCCTGGATCAGGCATGAAAGGTGATTCCAGCTCTCAGGTCCATGCCAGGCTCAGGAGCTCAGTGTGAAGCTGGCTACATTTCAAGTCTTCTACCAACACATTCCTTCAGCCTTGTGGGAGGGGGGCTGAGTCACCCCACTCTGCCAAATGTCTTCTCTGTAGTTCTTCCGAGCCCTGCCTTGCACAGGCTCCCTGAGGGACTGCGATAAGGGTCTGGGCATTGGGGCCAGTGACTTCCGGCTGTTTGCTGGGTGACTTCTCTGCTCTTGGCTTCCTCTTCTGAGAGCCAGGAACCATGGCTCCTGCTGAGGGAGGTTGTGAGGGAGACTGCCTTCCCTCCCTTCACCTTGCTTCAAAAACTCTGGTTGTGGCCTGGAGAGATGGCTCAGAGGTTAAGAGCACTGACTGCTCTTCCAGAGGTCCTGAGTTCAATTCCCAGCGACCACATGGTGACTCACACCCATCTGTAATGAGATCTGGTGCCCTCTTCTGGCATGCAAGGATACATAAAAAACAAATAAATCTTAAAAAAAAAAAAACAAACCCCTGGTTGTGGGAGATCAAGGATGGACTGCAATTTCCCGGGAGCTCCTGGGAGCCGGACATTTGTGCAGGTTTAGCCGCATCCCCGTTTCTGGGTTTGGGATAGGATGCGCCATGCATCAGGCAGAGGTGCACTGTCCAGGCTGAAGCTGCAGCTTGCTACTGCTGCCTTCCCTGGCAGCTGCTGGGTGGCAGCAGGGGGTGAGCAGAGCCTGGGGCACAGGAACAGGCTCTCTCAGTCAGGTCTTTCCCCAGACGGCCTCCTAAGTAAGCGGCCTCAGAGCCTCTTCCGCCCTGGGAGTTTAGGCACCAGGGACCACGGAGGGCGGGGTAGGACTGGCAGTGAGTGTGTACTGCTCTCTAGGTACGGATGCTGCCCCGATGGGGTGTCTGCAGCCGAGGGGCCCCAGCAGGCTGGCTGCCCCAGGTCTCACGGCGGTGACAATACCGGGAACAGGCCAGGGTCCAGGGCAGTGGCTTCCAAGGTGAGTGGCTCCTGGCGGGAACACGGCTCAGCACTACCGGGATCTTTGCAGCTTCAGCCTTGTGAAAGGGAGGAGCCTACAAGCCGTCCTTTCAAAGAGCAGGGCTTCAGAGGTGGCCTGGGTGGGGTTCTCTGCCTCTGCCTCACAGCTGTGCCCCTTCCCTTTCCTGTCTTCCTCCCTCTGGGCAAGCTCCCCACCGAAAACAGGATTTATTCCTAAGTTCCCAACCTCTGGCTTCCTCTCCAGGTCCCCAGGATCCACCAACCCCAGGCCCATCAGAGCGAACCCAGAGATTGTCGTGCCTCCCAGTTTGGCTGTTGCTATGACAACGTGGCTTCTGCAGCTGGTCCCCTGGGGGAAGGCTGTAGGGGCCAGCCCAGCTACGGTGAGAGGGTACCCCCTTCTCATCCTTACGGATGGGTGGACTCCGGTGTCTCGCTGGGTCCTCATCCCCTATGCACAGCCAAAGACCTCCCAGTTCCTGAGCACGCACTAGCTGGCAGGCCAGAGGATTCTGACCGATGGTTCCTCCATCTATGATGTTTGCACTTGGCTGGGGAGGGTTATAAATGGTGCTCCCGGGGCTATGGCTGCGGCTCAGTTGGCAGAGTGTTTGCCTAGCATGGACGAAGCCCTGGGGACAATCCTCAGTGCCACATAAACCAGATACGGTGGTGCAGGTCTGTAATCCCAGTACTTGTAGAGGCGGGCGGGATGATCGAAGTTCAAGGTCATGGTGGCTCCATACCATGTTCAAGGCTAGTCTGAGATAAATAAGATTGCCCCCCCCAAAAAAAAGTGGGTATCACAAATGAAAACAAGTCCATCTGGGGGGTCAGGCTCCTCCCAAAGTAAAGGCAGGAAGGGCAAAGTGGGTAGTGCTGTAGCGCTTGCCCATGCCTGAGACGGGGTGTGTGTTGCCCGGAGTAGAAGCTGAGTTTTAGTGAGATGGTGGAGGCTGGAACAGGATGGTCAGTGGGTGGAGCCCCCAGGGTCTGTCAAGGGAATATGCATCCGAAGTCTGACAGGCCGGTGGCCTAGGGCTCAGCAGACGGGTGGCGATCAGGACAGGTAGCCATAGCCACTTGGAACGTGGAGAGATGGAGCAGGTTATCCATGCTGGTCAGCAGGGCTGTGAGGATAAGCAGGCTAGAGGCTGGGGATGAGGACAAGGCTGGGTCTCTTCCTGGGCATGTTCACAGCCCCTCAGAGGAGGGCACAGTGAAGTCAAGCTGTAGCTGGTCTGTGTGTACACCCCAAGAGGCCCAGGCTGGAAGGGGCATGAGAGAGCTTGCTCAAGGTCTCTTCTTCCTGGGGTGGTTCTAGTTTGGTATGTGGTCCAGCCTAATTAAGTCTAGGAAAGATGCTGGCAGTGTCCCGGGCTCCTAGGGGAGGTTAGGGGTCCTGGCAAGGGTGCATCTGTGTTCTATAAACCAGGGCAGGCATGCTCCTTACGGCTGAGGGGAGAGGACAGTGCCACCACTGGCCACCTGGGTGACATGTTCCATCCACAATCCACAGCCTACCCGGTGAGGTGTCTGCTGCCCAGTGCTCCTGGGTCATGTGGAGACTGGGCTGCCCGCTGGTACTTTGTGGCGTCAGTGGGCCGGTGTAACCGCTTTTGGTATGGCGGCTGCCATGGCAACGCCAATAACTTCGGCTCGGAGCAGGAGTGCATGAACAGCTGCCAGGAGCACCACGAGCCCCGCCATCCCGAGGCAGGGGCCTCTGGCCATCGTGTCCACATGGACGGGGGCCAGCGTGGTCCTGGAGGCCAGCAGGAACCTGATTGGCACAGGACGAGAGCCACAGTCCCGAGACTGCCCTCACCTGGAAGCCCTTGGCAAAGAGGACAAGAGCCAGGGCCCGGGGAGGCGCCCCACCCTCCAGCCTATGGAGAACGACCTGGAGATCAGGAGCTCCGGCCCAGAGTTTCTGGACTGGGTAGAGATGGTAGACCACCAGTGCCGCCCACACATAGCTCCTCCCACAGGTGAGGCCTGCTTCCCAGGTAAAGGGCAATGGATGTCCAGTCCAGGGCTGAGCCCTAGAGAGGACAGCCCACCAGGTGGGTTTTGTCACCATCACATGACAGACAGGGATGCTGAGGTCCTTGGGATGTAGGTTTAGCCGAGGTATCTGTTCCCAGATTCTTTCTCCGCTCTAGCTAGTGCACCCTGAGGTCTGGGTCTAGGTAGCTTGCTCCAAACCTCAGTTTCTTGACCTGTAAAATGGTGGTAATGTTTCATTCCCTGAATATATCATGAGTTTTGATATGGGCTCTGTTATGTATCAATCACTCTTGTGATCATCATATTAATAATTTCATCCTATTAATAAGGGAGTTGGGGAAATAAACAGAATTAAGAAACCAAAGCACATGCTCAGGGGCAATGCCTGGGGTGTGGCAGGGTTGGGAGCCTCCCATGGGGCTCTAGCCCTGCAGATACCCACAAGAGACAGTTCCCTGGTGGCCCGCTCCTGTGCCAGGAGGCAGACCCAACCCTCTTCCCTCTCCAGGATCAGCTTGGGAGGCTCAGAGCCCTCCCTGGTTCAAGCAGCCGCCGGGCAGGCGGTACAGCTCTTCTGCCCTGGCAACACCTACCCGCAGTTCCAGGCAGGGTGGCAGAAAGATGGTGAGGCCATCTCCTCCGACAGGTGCGTGCAAAACCGTGGTCCCACCTCCTGTGTGAGAGGTTCACTGTGGGGTAGTGGTGAGCAATGGCTACATTTCTTGCGGAGGGCCCCCAGCATCCCTTGGGAGTGTGAGCGGACTCTGAGTGTGGTGGGGCTGTTTGGTCTTCTTTGGTTAGCGTGGGTGCCAGAGGACTCGTACCGCCCTCAGGAGTCCAGAGGTATGTCTCTTCCCCCCCCACCATCAGGTACCAGCTACAGTCAGATGGCTCCCTCATCATCAGCCCCTTGAGGCCAGAGGATGCCGGTGTCTATATCTGTGGCAGCCACAGGCCAGGCCATGACCCCCAGAAAATCCAGCTTCGAGTCACAGGTTTCTGTCCCATCCTCTACCCCCACCTCCAGGCTCTCACAAAATAGAGTGGGACTGAGTGAGGGAAGGAGGGAAGGAGGGAGGGAGAGAGGGAGAGAGGGAGGGAGGGAGGGCCTGGAGAGGGCTGACCCACCCTAGAAAGGCCCAAGTTCTTCCTTGATCACTTCCTCCTGGGGCAGGCACAATACCTTGTCCTTTTTTCTCCACTGTCTCTGCTGGTCTCAATGGCCCCTCTTCCGTCCTCCTCAGAGCTCATACTTGCTTCTTTGGGCCTCATGACAGGGGGTGACACAGCAGTGCTATCTGAGGTCCAGCCAAGATCGTTCCCTCAGACCAGGAACCCAGACCTTGGCCATGGGCCTCGGGACTCCGGAACAGGGGGCCACGGGGCTACCTCTTCCCTACACCCCAGGCCTGCCAGCAGGTAACAGCACAGCATGCTCTAATGGTCTCTGAATACGCCATAATATATTCAGAGTCTTTTGGGGTCCATGATCTCAATAGGGGAGAAGGGAAAGGGTGTGCCATGGTTGGGTTTTCACTGGCCAGTGCCCTGGGCTCAGAGAGGTAACAATTAGAAAAGCCTGGCTCCCTGAGCTGGCCTTGAGGGGGATTTGGTGGCGGGGGAGCGTCTTTGTCAGGGCCTGGTGGCAGATATGCGGGGCAGGAGAAGGTAGGCAGAGACTTGTTTAGTCAGCCACGTTGGCAGCCAGCCCTGGGCCTTCACACCCCCACCCCGCTCTTAACAACAGCATTGGTGTCCTAAACAGGACTAAGGGATAATTTTAGGGATCCCACCCTGACCAGAAAGGGAGAAAGGGGCTTGTGCAGAGGACTGTGTTATGGGGAGAAGTAGCAGCTGGGTCCCCTTAGTGTGCACAATTTGTTTTATAGGCTGCGTCTGGACCGGACTCGGCCTGGGGTGGTGGATGCCAGTCCTGGCCAGCAGATCCGGCTGACCTGCCATGCTGAAGTCTTCCCAACCCCCATCATTGAGTGGCAAAGAGATGGGCAGCTGGTCTCTTCTCCCAGGTTCATTCAGCCCCTTGCCTGCTGACCAGGCCTATCTCCAGCCACACATCCTCTAGAGGCCAGAGCAGGACTCCAGGCTCTGGAGAAATGGGGTTTGGAGCACAGGGCTTCTAGGCATTTCCAAAGTACAGCGGATGGGAATGAGAGGCCAGCCCAGGGGAGAGACAGGTTTGGCCCGGCCCTAGATGATTCCCATTGCTGACATTTGCTGGCTTTGTACTGAGGCCTGTTCACTGTTGTGTAAGCCGCAGGGAGCCACACTGCAGTACGTGCTTCTTGTGAGCAGTTTACACACAGGAGCTTAATATCACACGGCTCACTACAGAATCAGGATACCAGTCTATTTTGCATATGTCAAAACCCAGAAATCTAAGCCTTCAATTCTAGCACCCTGGAGGGGAGGTAGGTGGACTTCTGTAAGTTAAGGACAGCCTGGTCTACATAGCGAGTACTAGGACAGCAAATGCCACCCAGTGAGACTCTGTCTCAAAAACAAACAAACAAACAACAACAACAACAACAAAAAACCAAAAAAAACAAACTAGAATCTAATCTAAAATCGTGTTGTGCCTCCGTGTGTACTCTGTGTATAGGCCAGAAGTCAACTTTAGACATCATTCCTAGGAACGACCCACCTGTTTCTTTGAGACGGGGTTTCTCATTGGCCAAGTAGACTAGGCTGGTTGGCCAGCAGGTGCAGGAATCCGAGGTCTGCTTCCCCAGTGCTGGGATTACAAGCAAGCCCCACCATGCCTCCCTGCCCCACCCCAAATGTGGGGGTTGAACTCAGTCTTCGGACTCTCAAGGCAAGCACTTTTACCAACCGTGACCTCCCCAAGGCCCCTTTATGTTTTTTGACATAGAGCATCACACTGTAGCTCAGGCTGGCCTGGAAGTCACTATGTAAACCAGGTCGGCATCCAACTCATGGCAATCCTCCTGCTCCCAGTTCCCGAATGCTGGGATTACAGGCACGAGCCACCACACCTGGCTTCAGATAGTTTTTTAAATCAGAAAACCAAATGATTTGTTATTGAGTTTAAAAGCCAGGTGTTGTCGAGTAAACTTAAGCGTTGGCAGCTGGACTGTGTGAGGGGTGGAGCCCGCAGCTCCTTGGCTAGACAGTTTTTGAATAGTAGGGGCCCTGCTCAGCTCTCCTCCCGACTCCTGCTCAGCCCCCGTGTGGGTCAAAGCCCAGTGACTGTGTTTGGTCCCCAGGCACCAGCCGCAGCCCGATGGCTCTCTGGTCATCAGCCGAGTGGCCGCAGAAGACAGTGGTTTCTACGCCTGTGTTGCTTTTAATGGGCAGGACCGGGACCAGCACTGGGTCCAGCTCCGAGTTCTGGGTAAGTAAAAAGCAAGTGCTGAGTGTGGCCAGCGGGCGTTCTGGTCGAGTGGGGTGGAGTGTGTGTGGGGGGGTCTGTGTTAGTCATGGCAGTGTCTTCTCATGTCCAGGGGAGCTGACCATCACAGGCCTGCCTCCTGTTATGACGGTGCCAGAGGGCGACACCGCAAGGCTTCTGTGTGTGGTGGATGGAGAAAGTGTGAACATTAGGTGGTCCAGGTAAAGTGCAGTTGTAGCCGGTACGTGTCCTTACAGCCTCATCCTGTCAGAAATGTCACAGCCACCCCCATGCCATGGTCCTCTGAGGCCTGGTGCCAGGGCTGGAGGGCTGGAGGGCTGGAGCCCCCTCATCCTACACCGTGAAGCCCCAGGGGACAGTTTTCCTGCTGGCTGGGTGACATCATTTCCTTTTTTTTGGGGGGGGGAGGGGTTTGAAACAGGGTTTCCCTGGGTAGCCTTGGCTGTCCTGGAACTTGCTCTGTAGACCAGGCTAGCCTCAAACTCACAGAGATCTGCCTGCCTCTGCCTCTTGAGTGTTGGGATTCAATGTGTACATCCCCACCACCTGGCTAATGTCTATTTTCCTTTTGATGTTTTCAAGACAGGGTCTCACTATGTAGCTCTGGCTGGCCTGGAACTCACTGTGTAGACCAGGCTGGCTTCAAACTCCCAGAAATTCACCTGCCTCTGCCTCCCGAGTGCTGGGGTTAAATGTGTACGCCACCACACCCAGCAACTATAGTTTCTTAATCTTAGCACTGAATTATTGGGCCAGACAAGCTTGCTGTTTCAGGCCTGTTCATGGTAGCAGATTTAGCAGCCTCCAGAATATCCACCTGCTGGAACGAGTAGCATCTGCCCTGCCCACGTTAAAACAGTATTTCCAGACATGGTTCTGTCTCTTCCATATTGAGAACCACAGGGCTGCATGCAGCTTTGGAGATGACGGTGTTTTTCT